AACTTATTGCATTGCTCGAATGCCCTCCAACGGTGCCAGGATTACAAGCTCTTGCCTAAATTTAAATTCCAAACCATTTTAAACAGGGCTGATTTTTGCATGCCATTAATCTCTGTGACAGAATAAAGGTCCTTACTTTATCCATAAGCAAACCAATTAAAAACAGGTCCTTATTATCACAAAAAATATATAAATAGAACGCCCAACTGCACTCCAGGGTTTTTTTTTAGGGGAAGAGGAGATAACTTCAATAGAGACGTTATTTTAAATTTGTTTTCTGCATTTAACAACCCTGCCACAAGATTTCGCAACGGAACACTTGACCCCCTAATTCTCACTACTATTTAACGTTACAAGCCCAGTTTAACAGTTTAATTTAGTTAACTTGGCACTCCCTTTTTATGTCACAACCAAACGCAGAACCACACAGCTTTTACAGCTACATAGCTTACGTTATACATAAAATAAAAGTTAATGTAAAGTTTTAAGACCTATTGCAAAACCACCTAACATTACTAAACATGCACAGACATGCATGCCCAATGAACGCGGTCGTGGGCCGGCCATTTTTTCTTCTGTTTTTTTTTTTTTACCAAAGAACTCCAACACAAACACAAACCTTTTCCACTTTAAGATGCATAAATCATATTAACGGCTTTTATTACACTGGCTTCCACTTTTTTAATTCGAGTCTTTTTCGTTTGTGTTAAATTGAAGCAGAATAACAAATTAAAGCTAGCCTCATCGTCACATTCAACTTTTCAAATGCGATTGGAAGTGATAAATGCGTTTAATTCAGAAAATAATAACCACATTAAGACAAATTACCAGTGCCGTGCTGTTTGCCAAGAGCTAGTAAATCATCGGTGCTTAACGCGTAACATCAACAGCGTTACTTCACCAGATTAGCGCACTCATTAGACCAACATCAATAGAATTGGGCGGTTCAGAGCTGGTCACGCACCAGTTGCGAGGAAAGTTTTGAGCTGAGCAGGGTTGGAGAGGAAATTGGCTGCATGTCACAGAACGTTTCACCTAAGAATATCTTACATCGCTGTCCCACGGGCAAATTTACCAAGGAAAAAAATATCCTCCTCTTTCTTTCACCTTTAAAATTTACTAGTTAAACTAACTTGTTCCACAAAGTTACCAAGTTTCTCATTTTCGGGATGCGGGAGGCCCCAGCAAACCATGCGGACTTTTTCCACAGCTTTTGGGAAGAAGCACATACACACGTTGTGGCGGGACGTGAGGACAGTTTTTTTTTGAGGGTTTAATAAACCGTCAAATTTCATTTTTTTTGTTATTGCACAGTGACGTAAAATTAAGACCCTAAGCTTGCGTTGAGCACTGATATTACTTTAAATTACAAATCCAGCTACTTAATAACTAAATAATGCGTAAAGACAAAATTAGGTTTTGGTGGAAATAGCCTTTTTTTAAATTTTGAAAGTAACACAAAATCCCGATTTCTTTAACTCTTTTTTACTGTTTCGGTTTTACAGTTGCTGGCTTTGCAGGATGCTAATATATGACCTTCCTAATTAGACTTGAACTGTTTGCCCCCCCCCCCCCACTATATTTATGGCAGGCAACTACAGTTAATTGGGAGTTTAAAATAAATAAATTAAAGGGGGTAAAAGGTATATATTCGCCATTTGTTTTTGGGTAGAGGGCTTGTTACCTGGTAGGTCCTGGTGTTCCGGTTTTTTGATAATATTGAGCGTCTTTCACAGTGAGGGTATATGATATTTTTTCTGCTCTTCAGTTCCCTAGGAGGACTGTGGTCCATTCTTTGGCGAACAACCTGACAGTTATATAGCGTTATAAGTAGGTTATTTTTTGCTGTTGTGCGGTTTGGGAACGGTGATTGATATAAGTCGTCTAACAAGCTGGTGGGAAATGTTGGAGGGGGCCAGGGTGGCAATCCAGCCAGTCAAATATGTACTGCAGCCTATTATCATGAATGTCTATCTTGTCCAAAAGTGTTGATAACACAGCGTGGCGGCCAGACCATGCAAAAATATGATTATCCTAATTGAAGTAACTATACGTCTGTAAGACTATAGCTGGGGACAGGAGTGTTGCAGTTGCACTTTATTAGTTCAATAGCAAGGGGCCACTATTCCAGAGAATAAGCCCGCCACTTGGGTGGCACATTTTATTTTGGTGAGTGTAATGTGCTCTAGTCTATAGTTGACCTTGCTATTGTATCAGTTGCGGAAGGTTGGATTTATTTTCGTCTCTTTCGAAGTTATGGTGGTTTGTTTGCAGGATTAAAAATTAGCGTCCATAGAGTCCATGATTATCTCTAACGTGGCTATACAATGTCCAATCTTATTGTTTGCCCTGGTTACATAGTTTATTTATTTTTTTATACTGAATGTGGCGGAAATTGCTAGTTGATATTGACGGCTTTCTGAATTGTTTTGTAATCTTATGCATGTTAGTTAGTGTTAAGTAAAGAGGTTCAAATTTTCCTCTTGTTACATGGTTCAGAAACATGGAGGGTCCATAACTGGTCAATTCTGTCTTTCCTTTGACTTTAATCACCACTCTCGACAAGACGTAGAGGAGGAGAGCTCGC